GTATAAACCAGTGAACAGACTTAGTGCTAAAACAAGTAGATAACATTCTTATTACAATTTTAAAAAATAATTTCCTGATTTCCATATTAATGTATGGATTTAGTGTTACATGCTTATTATCTGGCGGCATTGTTTGTTTGCTTTTTTTTTAAAAAAAAACTGCTTGTAACTCAGTGCTGTATATAGCATTTCTTTAACCAAGTATATCCATCCTTCTTTACATTTTCAAACATACTATCTCTGTTTAGAAGATTAGAGTTTCTAAATGCTCCTATTTTTCTTACTCCTTTTCAGTATCAGTAATCTTATCCATGCAGCTGCCACATGAATTAAGAGATTATCAAAGTTAGGATATAAATGGGGAATTCTATTCATATTTGGTTTGTTGGTAAACATCCAAAAACTCAACAGGGTATGAGGTAGGATATGTCGCAACAAGATGCAACATGTAGCTGATAACTGGATGTGTTTATTGGTATAATACTTGCAAGCATTTTAAATTTAGACACTTATTTCTCTTATACCGTATTCCTTTTGGGGATACAGTGTCCCCATTGGACTATAGCATCTTGCATTTTGTCAATTTGAATAAGATTCAACTACATATCAAACTGAATAAAATTTGGCTATATATCAATATATTAAATATGTTATATGTTAAATGGCAAAATGGAATACTGCTTTGATTTTGTGAAAGAGTTTAGGTTTTATGCATGTCTGATGATTTTTGTGATTCCATCTTGAGTTGCTTAACAGCAACAACACATACGTAAATTAACTTCTGTCCCACAACAAAGTTTTAGGGGAGGGTAGCATCTTTATAATACACATGAAACCAAATTCAAAGTAGATCTCTGGTCTCGTCTTGCCCTATCCAAATACTACTCACCACAGGAAGTGTGTACTATATGTGTATATATATATAAATAAATGCTGCAGTATGATCATCTGGCAATGCAGATTCCAGTAACATTATCAATCTTGGGCAATGGTATGCTATAGCAGGACTCTTATTCCCCCCCTGCACAGTTGTTCTTAAACAGTCAGTCAACATTTCACCAAGTCATGTTTTATATTGCTTTTGACCTTTTCCAAATGGCTGCTCTAACATCTTTGTGGAGCAGAGATGACTTTCTCCAGATAATTCCTGAGTTGATCCTGGCCTATTTTTTCTGTTCAGATCTGCCCTGTCATCCCCGTGGCCTGGTCCTTTATTAAATGCATCCTTTGAGGAAAACCTTTTTGCTGATAATTTCTGGGCAAATTCACAGAATATAGGCCTTTGAGACACTAATGAATGATTTCATAATTTAGCTTTTGAGCTCTTTTGATAGAAGCCATTTATTAAGCCACCTTCTTTTTGGATATTAAATGGTCATAGAATTCCCATAGTCCTGTCTTTATCCTTCAGCATAACGGATTTATAAATTGTGCTGAATGTGTTCTCCTACAGTATAAACAACAAAACATATAAGCACTCTTCCTTTTTCTTTATAGAACTGTGAATCTCACTGAAAGAAAACAAAACTTACTTTCTATTCAGGCCCTGTTGCAGGATAATTAAAACTGAAGGATTCTAGTGCAGGAGACACTGCCATTTTCTTTTGTCATAATAGTAGTAGTAGTAGTAGTAGTAGTAGTAGTAATAATAATAATAGTAATAACAATAATGTAAAGTTGGAAGGGACCTTGGAGGTCATCTAGTCCAGGGCTTTTCAACCAGGGTACAGGTACCACCTGTGGTACATTGGCACCTGGCACCTGGTATGCGACCATCCCAGAAAAGTGGTAGTGGGGGAGGGGAATGAGCTGAATTGGTGGCAGCACCGGACAAGCCTGAGCGAGAGATGGCTGGAGCTGCAGGGCTGTCAGGGCTCAGCGGAAGCGCCAGGATCAGCACTTCTTCGGGACTGTCGGGGCTCAGTGGAAGCATCAGGATCAGCACCAGGCTCCAGCTGGAGCTCGGCGCTGATCCTGGCACTTCTGCTGAGCCCAGAAGAAGCACCGATCAGCTGGAATGTTGCAGCATCTCCAGGGTCTTGTGATTTACATTCAGATGCTTGGCACCTGATCCATATTTATGATGGTCACAGTGTCCCAGGGTCATGTGAAGTGACCAAAACCTGCTGCAACCACCCAGCAGATGGGGGGAATAAAAACCAAACACCCCCCACCCCACCCCTGCTGCCAATCCTCAAGAGAAATGCTCACAACAATGAAAACCTCAGACAGGAGGAAGAGCACCGCCGGGTGAACAGGCAGGTGTCTTGCTCGGCTGTGGCTTGGGGAAGCACTTTTTCCAGTGTCATTGTAACTTCGAACAGTCACTAAGCAAACTGTTGTAAGTCAAGTACTCCCTGTACTTCATCACTTTTTTCCTTTTTTTTTTTGGTCATCAAGTTTTTGACACCTTGCTAGGTGACTGGTGGTACTTGTTTATTGCCATATTCTAAAATTGGTACAATGGGTGAAAAGGTTGAAAAGCCCTGATCTAGTCCAACCCACTCTTAGGCAGGAAACCCTATACCATTTCAGACAAATGGCTCTCCAGTCTCTTCTTAAAAATTTCCAGTATTAAAAGTGAAGGATTCTAGTGCAGGAAACTCTGCCATTTTCTTTTGTCTTAGTAATCCGAGTTAAACTATGACTTTGGGTACCATGCTAGGGAAGCTCAGAAAAACAATGTTCAGGAAGGTTGAATAAGTACACCACTGAAAGACTGGATTTATTTTCCAAGAGACCTGCACAGGCTTGCATTATTAACCACATTTTGATTTTATATACTCCAGATTTCTATAGGAATAAGTATGGAACTAGAGCCATCTCAATGTGAAAACCTGCAAGGCAATTATGTCCAAATTATAAAAATCAGTGGCCAATTGGTATTGTAAGAATGTGTATCTAAGCAGCACTGTAGAACAGAAAGAGTTCTTTGATTTATCTGCAATTACCTTTCACAAACTACAGCAATATTAGTTGATATTCAGCTTGCTACAAATACCTAAAGTATGTCAATCTTTCCTAATCAGGTATCTTCTAGATGTGTTGAACTATAATCCTACAATCTAGTCAATGTGATTTTGGGAAATCATGGCAGTTATATTCCACACATCTGGAGAATAGCACATTGGAGAAAATATAAGTAGGCCTTCTTAATAAAAAGTGTCAACTGGTGAAAATTCACTTGAAATAGGTTTAAACCTTGACAGTTTGGGCAAATAAGACTTGGCAAAGTACGCTCATATTCCTCTAATCAAAAAGGAAAGTATTATTAGTCACATATCTTGTCTAACACCAATAATTAGAAAAAGATATACATAACACTTCTGTAGAAAATTATTTGAAATTATTTAAATCAGTTGGATACAATCCAAAAATTGTTTAAAAACCCTTAACTTCACAATCCCTCTTCATTTAAAATAATTTTAATACTTTTGAAGAATATTCTGATCCTCGTGAATGATGTTGAATCAACACGGCTATAAAAATGCCGAGGAAAGGGACAACTGAATATAACTTTGAAGTAATTAACATATCATTAGGGAAAGAAAAGAGAACCAAGAAAAAAAGTTGCAGAAACATCCCAATCCTCCTAACTTTTTCCTGCATACAGATGTGCTTACTTAATATTTCTTCTTATCATTGTCATATTTTTTCACTCAAATGTTAACTTTTTTTTAAAGACCATTCCATCTTGAGATGAAATAATAATAGTCCATGGGCTGAATATAGATATTTGCAAAGGTTGCCTGCATCTATCAATCAGCATAGAAGTGGCAATACAGTAAGAATATACCTTTAAAGTTATACATAATATATTGGATTGCAGTACAGTACTTGGAAGTAAGAACAACAAGAACTGAAGAGGAAATCTCTTTAAGGCTGCAACAATCTTATACCCACTAACCTAGGTTCAAGTGCTGTTGAATCAGCTGACCTCACTTCAGAGCAGGAATGAAAAATATTTTGCTATCAGACAACCACCTTTTGCATACTCAGAAGGGCTGATTTTAGACTAAGCTGACTTTTGATGGCTCATCCTATACTGTGGTTCTTAAAACCAAAAGATTTGCAGTGTTTTGCATCAGATTCTATTTCATCATCAACAACACAATAAAACTTGTACTGGTTGCCATAAAACTCACAGGATCCAAAATCATCCAGATAATAAGGGCTGTCATTGGATTGTGTCAATATCTTTTTTAGAGGTGAAGGCAATTGCCTCCCCCCCCCCCACATGGCCCAGGCTGCTTCCAAAATATGTTTCTACATCCAAAACTATCAATACTTTTCATTCTTTGCAGAAAAAAATTAACCAGTTAATAGTGTGTAACTCTAAGAGTAGTTTCCCAAAACATTCCCATTTATTCTTTTGCTTTAGTAGCAAAGGAAGGGCCAATCAAACAAACCCCCTGCCCCAAGTTTACAAAACCCTGACATCAGTTCCAAAGCTTACGGCAAAGGGCACACAAGCCTTCATTTCACCAGGAGGACAATTTCTGCTTAGCCTAACTCCCTTACGAACACCACTCTTCTTCAGGGACAGAGAAGCCTAGGCAGGATGAAAGAGCTGCATTTGGGGATAAGGCAAGTCCCGTTTAAGGGGGCAAGTCCCGTGTAAGGATCCCACCGGGGGCTACCTTTGCTGAGCCCTCAGGCTCCGTAGGTGCCCTTGGGCCGCGCAAGAGCCTGCAAGGATGCTGCGGAACTAAAATCGTGGCAGGCGGAAGGGATGGAGAAGAGGGTTGCCTTCAGCCTCCACTTTACCGAATCTACCTGCAAGTATTACTTGAGAGGCTTTAACGATCCCTTGGACGAAAAAGAAAAACCCCGGTCTGATTGAGGTAATTCACTTGCAGAAATAAGTAGCCAATACATCTTTGCTCTTTAAAAAAAAAAAAAAAAAGGACGAAGGCGAGGCAGGTAGAACTTGAAAAAGCCCCCCCCCCCCCGAGGATGTGTCAGTCCCCAGCAAAGTCACAGCCCCGGCCAGCATTTACCTCAAAGCGCCCGAGGCTGGAGCTCTTGGAGCGCGATTTCTTGCGGAGATAGACCGAGAAAAACCTGCGCACCGTGAACTTCTTCATACTCGTTTCCATCGCTAGGGCACGCCGTTCGCCCCAAACGTGACAGCCATCCGAGGAAGGGAAGGAAGAGGGCGCGTCTCCCTGGGCTGGGCACGGTCCTTGGGCGAATTCATCCGGTCCCGGGGCGAGCCGAGTCCCGCCGAGACAGCCTTCGCCAGGCAGGGGAGGCGTGGGGCGATCAACTTACCGGAGCGGGTCTTTCTGCCCGCCCAGGTTTACATTTCATCACTGCAAGCCCAACTCTCGTCCTCTCCGCCTTCTTCGCCGCCGCCTCCTCCTCCCCCACCCTCCGCTCGGCACGGTCCTCTCACGCCCAATCGGAACCGGCTTTTTCTGCCTGCAGAAGCCGCCGCTTGTCCAGAGAGCTCCTCCGAGCGCTAGCCCTGCAGAGAGGCCAGGGAGGTGAGAGGGGGCCGCTTCAGGACAACCCCGGAGCAGGACCGGGCTTGTCTTGGCTTGTCCCTCGCTCTAGGGAGCCGGTCAGTTTCCTCCTGGCTTCTGGATCGCGCGATAGAAGGGAGCGCCCCGTTGCCGCTCGCCGGCTCGACGCGGGCTGGGAACTGCAGCGCGGAGAGAGCTATAATTATCTTGGCCTGGGAAGGGATGAGCCCTCCTCACAAAGGAGATTCTCCTGGGAGATCCGGCTGGCAGGAAGGCAGGCCCGCTGCTTCCGAGGTCTTTTTCACTGCCGCTGCTCCTTCGGCAGTCTCTTTTTCAGACTTTAAAAGCAGATCGGAGCCTTCAGACCTTTCAGTCCAATGCACTAAATTATTAATTTAGGTATATAAAACTCAATGGTCCCACTGACGCCTTCCTGCCGAGTTGGACTACAGTTCCTACAATCTCTGGTTAGCCCGGGCCGTTGTCCAAGCTGGCTGAAAGTTGCCCCTAATGTAGTATAATGCACACTGGGTTGGGGAAGGCAGAGCCAGGGCCAGACTTTAAAAAAACCACATGCACCTCTTCCCCCCCCCCCAAGGGCATAATGTATTAGAATCCTAGTTTCAAGAACCAGGTAGTGTGTGTGTGTGTGTGTGTGTGTGTGTGTGTGTGTGTGTGTGTGTGTGTCAATTTCAACTACTGGTGGTGGTTGTTAGTTGTGAAGTCCTGTCCAACCCATCGCGACCCCATGGACAATGTTCCTCCAGGTCTTCCTGTCCTCTGCCATCTTCTGGAGTCCATTTAAGTTCACACCTACTGCTTCAATGACTCCATCCAGCCATCTCATTCTCTGTCGTCCCCTTCTTCTATTGCCCTCAATCTTTCCCAGCATTAGTCCCTTCTCCAGTGAGTCCTTCCTTCTCATTAGGTGGCCAAAGTATTTGAGTTTCAACTTCAGGATCTGGCCTTCTAAAGAGCAGTCAGAGTTGATCTCCTCTAGGACTGACCAGTTTGAATGCCTTGCAGTCCAAGGGACTTGCAGGAGTCTTCTCCAGCACCATAGTTCAAAGGCCTCAATTCTTTTGCGCTCAGCCTTTCTTATGGTCCAACTTTCACAGCCATACATTGCAATTGGGAAAACCATGGCCTGGACTATACGCACTTTTGTTGGCAGGGTGATGTCTCTGCTTTTTAGTATGCTGTCTAGATTTGCCATAGCTTTCCTCCCCAGGAGCAAGCATCTTTTAATTTCTTGGCTGCAGTTCCCATCTGTGGTGATCTTGGAACCCAGGAAGATAAAATCTGTCACTACCTCCATTTCTTCCCATCTATTTGCCAGGAATTGAGAGGACTGGATGCCATGATCTTGGTTTTCTTGATGTTGAGTTTCAAGCCAACTTTTGCACTCTCCTTCTTCACCCGCATCAAGAGGCTCTTTAGTTCCTCTTCACTTTCTGCCATTAGAGTGGTATCATCTGCATATCTTAGGTTGTTAATATTTCTCCCGGCAATCTTAATTCCAACTTTTGATTCATGTAGCCCTGCCTTTCTCATGATGTGCTCTGCATATAAGTTAAATAGTCAGGGCGACAATACAGCCTTGCCGGACTCCTTTCCCAATTTTGAACCAATCAGTGGTTCCGTGTCCAGTTCTCACTGTTGCTTCTTGACCTGCATATAGGTTTCTCAAGAGACAAATAAGATGGTCTGTAACCCATCTCTTTAAGAACTTGCCACAATTTGTTGTCATCCACACAATCAAAAGTACTCTGCAGTTTTCTTGGCAAGCTTTCAGAAGTGATTTGCCCTTGCTTTCTTCCTAGGGTTGAGAGGAGACTGGCCCAAAGTCACCTAGCTGGCCTCATGCCTAAGGCAGGACTAGAACTCACCAGTCAGCCTGGTGCCTTAACCATTACAGATAGTTCTTGATTTACAATGATAATTAGGGCCAGAATTTCCATTGCTAAGCATTAAGTAAGTTGCGTCTAATTATACAACCTTTTCTGCCAGGTTTGTTACACAAATCACTGGTGTTGTTAAGTGGAATCACATGGTTATTAAGCAAATCTGGCTTCCCCCATTAATCTTGCTTGCAGGAAGTCAGCTGGGAGAGTCACAAATGGTAATCATATGATTCAGGACAATGTAACTGTGCCAGATGCCCAAATTTGGATCACATGGCCATGGGGATGCTGTGATAATTGTAAGTGCAGGGAACTGTCATAAGTCACTGCTTTCAGTTCTATTGTAACTTTGGTCATTAAACAAATGGTTGAAAGTCGAGGACTACCCATAAAGCAATCTGGCTCTCATGTATGGTAGTATGTATGCCCCAGTGATTTTAAAAATGTAAAGAAGTGCCTACTTGTAATCCTACGATGCTGTAGTGTGAAATAAAGATGCTTGTCAACAAAGATCTCCTTTAGAAGGCCAATACCTAAGAATGTGAGCGAACATCTTCATAAACAGGACTGAGGAGTATATGTGATATTAATCATTTATACGTGTTTTCATCTAGACTCTTCATCTGAGAGCGAGGGTCTAATAAGCTAATGGAATCTTCCTGTGGCTATTTCTGACTGAGATTCCAAAACATTTTGCTCTGCAAGGGACCAGGAAACTAATGGGCTTGGGCTCACGGTTGCCAAAATAACTTAAGCTACTTCTGAGGTACTTATTTCCTTCAAATGAACAAGTTTACTGGAGCCTGTGCTACTAATTCTTCATGGAAACATTTCTCTTTACTTTATCTGCAGAAGAAATAATCTCTGTAGTGCCGTAGTAATTTCAACAAAAATAATAAAGACCCTAGGTTTTTTTCTCAAACAATGGTTTAATTAAACATATTCTTTTAACATTTCTCATCAATGCTTACATTTCTTTTAAACATTGAACATTCCTGAGAGTATGACAGGGCTTTTCCTTCCTCCCACCCTGAAACTGAATTTCTCAGATGACTTTTTATTGGGCCATCATTAAGAAAAGCAAACACTTTTCCAGAAAAGCAGAAAAATACAGGTTTATAGTCTTGTAAAAGTCCACCAATATAACACAGTATGTATCCATTATAATTCTTATCTACTGTATTCAGAAATTTCAGTATTTTTGGCTTAGCCAGCAGTGTTTTAGGTTTACCCACTTAAGCTTTTTCCCTCTTGCAAACGTGTCTATGATACTTGGACAAAAACTTGCTAGCAGAGGTTTTTTTTGACCTTTCTCTGCCTGGCTAGTTAAAATATGTCAGGAAATGCTGACCTCAGCTCTTAAGACAGGGATTAATGTCTCTTTGTGGAACAGAAATAATAATAAAAAAATTAACACTGCCTTGCACCCATAGTTCGAAAATATCCATTATTTTTCCTTATCACTATTACTGTTATTGCTGGCATCATCTGGCTTACATCTGGCCAATCTGCTGGATTTTGAGCATAGAAACAAGCATGTCAGAAAAGGTGAAATGAAAGTAATTGTCTGTATTACAGATCAGACTTTGTATTCACGTCTGGATTTCAAGGGGATGCCACCCAAAAAGGAAATTTCAACAAACCATAATCTGCCTCTTACTTTGCAAACTCAGAACAGAGCTATTAATTATGGCATCCAGGGAAATGGGTTCTTTCCCCAATGCTGCTTTCCTGATTTAAGTCAAACCCAGACTTACCCCAGCCTAAATTGTTTTTGTGTGACAGCGTTTGAGGTACTATGCCAGCAAGCACCATTCTTCTACAATACTTTTAAGTCCATTTTAATGAGCTTTCTAGCCCAGGGGTCCACAATAACAGGCAAAGAGGGAAAGATGGGGAAAGCAAGAAACAGCCATGTTGTTTTGCTTGCTTTTTCAACAGGTAACACCGGGTGTCTGCCGTTAGCTTTTTGGATGAACCATGCCTTGTTGACTTCACTTTCATTCTTCCAATTTCTCATCTAATGTTTTGTTTCTCTTCCAGGGCTAAGGCATCATCTTATAGTTCTGCTGGTATTAGAGGTTGCCTTGCCACTGGAAGAGGACTTCATGTATGTACCTGGAGCATTGACATTGCATTTTTTTGTGGAAAGAACACATTGACTCTGAAAACTAAATTTAGTAGAAAATTCTCTTATGGCATTTGTTCTTTTGAACAGTAGTGTTTACATTCAAAGCACATCTGCAACCCACCTAAAAATTCAGAGAGAAAGATTGCCAAAAAACCAAACAAGGACCATGTAATCTTCTTAACAATTAGGGTAGAAGTGGTTTGCTACTACCATTACATTCTTTTAGGATTCCAGTCTTACTTTAGGTTTGGTATTACCTGATTAGTGGAAGTTTCTTTGGTCTTCTTAGGATAGCAGTCCAGAGTTATCCAAATGAGAGATTATCAAAAAATCCCCAAACTCTATGCTGGTTTGTGAAAATCCCAAAAGAAGGCTACCAACATTACCAAGGGTCACCTGGAGTTAGGATCATCTTGCAAGAACCTTACCTTTAAAAGGATTCCTTATAAATTAAGGAAATTTCTTCCACAGAATGTGAATCAGGATAAATCAGTGGAAATTGGAAAAAAGCTCCTTTGGGCAAAACACTAGAAAAGCATCCTGATAGTAAGAATTGTCTTGAGACTGGAGTGATTGCCTCAAGAATGCATTTCAGAGAAGGATACTGTAAATTTCTCTAGAGTTGGCTCAGATAACATACTTGCTCATTTTGTGAACTTAATCTCCATGATATTGTTAGCCTAAATGTTTTGGAATCTTTTAAAGACAATTGTTAGGGAAAGAAAACAGAAGACCTGTGATTTTGTATACAATTGACCAGAATGGATTAGGATAGCAATATAAGATAGCTGTCAACATTATTTCTCATAAGTCTGGATC